TGGTTCATCTCTGTATGTAGCTGTTTGCCTGAGGTTCAGCTTTAAGCAATGTGAAGCAGTAACGGGTTTCCTTTGGACCTCTGCACCCCTTTGTATACAAGTCCTCTAGATCTCTGTGTTGGTCAGAGACGGATTCGAGCATCGTAATTACGTCGCCTCTAAGATTTCTGTTTTCAGTTCCACAAATACTAAAATGTTTTCTGACGTCCCTCAGGTGTTAGATATGAACTAATTATCATATCCTGTATGTGTATATACTGCACGTGTGACCTGTATGTCTATATACTGCACGTATGACCTGTATGTGTATATACTGTACTTATGACCTGTATGTGTATATACTGCACTTATGACTCCTCCATGTGTGAGGCCGCACAATGCCGTCCCAGCTCCGCCGCAACTTTATAGATCTTGTCCTGATGTGATCCAAGGACAAACACGCGTCAGTATTGATAAGTGCGCGGCGATACATCGGAAGGTTAATATCCATATGAAGGAGTCCGGATAATTAATTATGCTAATGAGGTGTCCGGATTATATTTCGCTTATCTCTCCTTTGCAAGAGGCGCGCTGCATGCCGAGCGCTCGGGAATGTGAATTTCTGGGGAAAAGTAAAAAAAAAAAAAAACTTTCAGTTTAACTGACGGAGAACAAAAATGGATAAAATTATACTTTTATAATAAACAATACGCTTATAATTAAAAGATACTTACAATGAGGAGAATAATGATCTGATCTCCTGCAGATGACAGAGAGATGAAAGTTGTATAATTTGTATCATCGGAGACAGAATATCACCAAACATCCAGAGAAGTCACATGACACAAATGTTATAAATGGAGTTGCAGTTCAGTGAGTAAAATAAGTATTTGATCCCCAAGCAGAACATGACTTAGTACTCGGTGGGGAACCCTTGTTGGGGAGCACAGAGGTGAGACGTTCCTGGGGGAACCCTTGTTGGGGAGCACAGAGGTGAGACGTTTCCTGGGGGAACCCTTGTTGGGGAGCACAGAGGTGAGACGTTTCCTAAGGGGACCCTTGTTGGGGAGCACAGAGGTGAGACGTTTCCTGGGGGAACCCTTGTTGGGGAGCACAGAGGTGAGACGTTTCCTAGGGGGTCCCTTGTTGGGGAGCACAGAGGTGAGACGTTTCCTAGGGGGTCCCTTGTTGGGGAGCACAGAGGTGAGACGTGTCCTGGGGGAACCCTTGTTGGGGAGCACAGAGGTGAGACATTTCCTGGGGGAACCCTTGTTGATAAGACATTTCTTGGGGTTGGTTGCCAGGGTTGCACACATCTCAGGAGGGATTTTGGTCCCTTTACAGACCTTCTCTAAATCCTTCAGGTTTCTTGGCTGTCGCTCGGCAACTCGAAGTTTTGGCTCCTCCCATAAATTTTCTATAGGATGGAGGTCTGGAGACCGCCTAGGCCACTCCATGACCTCAATGTGCTTCTTCTTCAGTCATGGCTTTGTTGCCATGGCGATATGTTTTGGTTCGTTGTCATGCTGAAAGACCCGTCCACGACCCATCTTCAGTGTTCTGGCTGAGGGAAGGAGGTTCTCATCCAAGATTTTACAACACGTGGCCCCGTCCATTGGCCCCTCAAAGCGGCAAAGTCGGTCTGTACCTTTAGCAGAGAAACAGCCCCAAAGCATAATGTTCCCACCTCCGGGCTGGACTGTAGGGACGGTGTTCTTAGGGTCATAGGTCAGCATTATTCTTCCTCCAAACACGGCGAGTCGAGTTCATGCCAAAGAGCTCAATTTTGGTGTCATGTGACCGCAGCACTTCCTCCCCAATCCTTCTCTGAAGCATTTTGGTGTTCATTGGCAGACTTCAGACGCGCCTGTACATGGGCCTTCCTGAGGGAGGGGGACGGGCCTGTACATGGGCCTTCCTGAGGAGTGGGGACGGGCCTGTACATGGGCCTTCCTGAGGAGGGGGACGGGCCTGTACATGGGCCTTCCTGAGGGAGGGGGACGGGCCTGTACATGCGCCTCCCCGAGGAGGGGGACCTTGCGGGCGCTGCAGGATCTCAGTCCATGGCGGTGTATCGTGTTACCAATGGTTTGTTTGGTGACTGTGGTCCCAACTGCCTTCAGATCATTCACAAGCTCCTCCCCCCCGTGTAGTTCTGGGCGGATCCCTCACTTTTCTCATGACCATCCTCACCCCATGAGGCGAAATCTTTGCATGGAGCTCCAGACCGAGGACCATTGATGGTTATTTTGTATTCCTCCTCCCCGAGCTTCTTGCTGACAGTCTTGTAGCCCATTCCAGCCTCGGGCAGGTCCACGGTCCCCGACGTCCTCTGACAGCTCTTTGATCTTGCCCAGGGTGGGGGAGGTGCGAATGGAAGAAAGAGATTCTGTGGACAGGCGTCTTTTATATACATAACGAGTTGTCGTTAGGATCACCATCTTAAAGTGACAGGACTCGTCTGTGTACCACATGGCCAGTCTGTGGGAGGAGCCAGAATGATTGCTGGTCGGTAGGGGGATCAAATACTTCTTTTACTCCCTGAACTGCGACTCCATTTATAACATTTGTGTCATGTGACTTCTCTGGATGTTTGGCGGATGTTCTGTCTCCGATGATACAAATGATACAACTTTCATCTCTCTGTCATCTCTGCCGGGGAGCCAATCAGCATTCTCCTCACTGTATATGATAAAATGATACTAAAAGATACTTCTATAATAAAAGGGAATGTCTTATAATAAAATGAAACCCAAATAATATAAAGACAATAAGAAGATACTTATGTCACAGAATGTCGCTCTTGTAACTGTGTAACCTTTGTTGTCTCTCTCTCTCCGTAGGATTGCACGGTCTATGAAACAGAAAATAAGATTCTCCATGTGGTGAGTGTGCGTTTTACTTTATCAGGGTGACCCGTGATGTCATTGTTTCATGTAGAAGGTAAAGAAGGTCTCCGGTCGTCATGTTTTCTATATGTTCAATCTCTAAATATAACCTGTTCTGTCTGTTTCTGACACTGGGAAACACGGACAGAGTGTTGTCACCCTATAACAGGAAGTGTCTAAACAAGGACAGAACGTTGTCACCCTTTAACAGGAAGTGTGTGAACAAGGACATAGTGTTTGCACCCTATAACAGGAAGTGCCTGAACAAGGACAGAGCATTGTCACCCTATAACAGGAAGTGCCTGAAGAAGGACAGAGCATGGCCACCCTATAACAGGAAGTGCCTGAACAAGGATTGAACATTGTCACCCTATAACAGGAAGTGTCTGAACAAGGACATAGTGTTGTCACCCTATAACAGGAAGTGCCTGAACAAGGACAGAGCACTGTCACCCTATAACAGGAAGTGTCTGAACAAGGACAGAGCACTGTCACCCTATAACAGGAAGTGTCTGAACAAGGCCAGAGCATTGTCACCCTTTAACAGGAAGTGTCTGAACAAGGACAGAGCATTGTCACCCTATAACAGGAAGTGTTTGAACAAGGACAGAGCATGGTCACCCTACAACAGGAAGTGCCTGAACAAGGATTGAACATTGTCACCCTATAACAGGAAGTGCCCGAACAAGGACAGAGCACTGTCACCCTATAACAGGAAGTGTCTGAACAAGGACATAGCGTTGTCACCCTATAACAGGAAGTGTCTGAACAAGGACATAGCGTTGTCACCCTATAACAGGAAGTACCTGAACAAGAACATAGCGTTGCACCCTATAACAGGAAGTGTCTGAACAAGGACAGATCATGGTCACCCTATAACAGGAAGTATCTGAACAAGGACAGAGCACTGTCACCCTATAACAGGAAGTGCCTGAACAAGGACAGAGCGGTATTATCCTTTAACAGGAAGCACCTGAACAAGGACAGAGCGTTGTCACCCTATAACAGGAAGTGTCTGGACAGGGATCCTCCATGGCAGGATCCCCAGGTACAATTATTTTGTAGCGGCGATTTCGGGTCTCCTCCTGGTGACTGGTTCTGGCAGGTCCGCGCGGTTGCGGCGGATGAGCGACGGTCTGGGTATAACGAGCGGTGATGTATGAGGACTCTGCGGTGGGGCTAATTACCGCGCGGCGTACACAGAAAACACATAATCACCGCGGCGCCGTCCTGCCGGAGCCGTCTGCTGACATTTAAATGAAGGAAGAATGCGCGCATTGATTTTCTAAATAGGTGTTATTTTCCGTGTCACTTCTCCAGCAGCGCATTTCATAAACAAGTCGCCGCCGCCGCTCCATTGTGCGTCCGCCCCGCGTGTAAACAAACCATTTCCGAGCCGAACGGAGACGCGGCGCTCAAGCTGAGTCTTTCTTCTCCCCTCCGGCACGGCGCGCTCCGAAGGCTGGATCGCTGATTGGCAGAAAGACATTCATGAGCTTCTCACAAGCTGCAGCAAGTCAGACAGAGCCGCCTCATTTCCTGGCTGCAGCATCATCTAGCCCTTTCTTCCCCAGCCTGGCTGTCCCCGGCCCCGCCCCTTTCATTCAGTGGATTTCAGTTCTTTCAATCACGGAGCTTCAGCATCACATGTGGGCGTGACCTATGCAAATGCATCCTGCCTAGAAACGCCCACTCCTCCCGACTGACACCCACACGTCAAGGCATTTTTATATTTGCATAACTCCTCCCAAGATCCAGCCCACTGCTTGCATCGGGGCTGAGGTCTCTTGAGAGGAGTATTGAGGCAGGGCGCTGTGATGTTTTCAGGAAGCTATGTACAGCCCCCTGCCGGCCCCTCTCACCAACCATGACCTGCCTGTCGGCCCCTCTCACCAACCATGACCTGCCTGTTGGCCCCTCTCACCAGCCATGACCTGCCTGTCGGCCCCTCTCACCAACCATGACCTGCCTGTCGGCCCCTCCCACCAACCATGACCTGCCTGTCGGCCCCTCCCACCAACCATGACCTGCCTGTCGGCCCCTCTCACCAACCATGACCTGCCTGTCGGCCCCTCTCACCAACCATGACCTGCCTGTCGGCCCCTCCCACCAACCATGACCTGCCTGTCGGCCCCTCCCACCAACCATGACCTGCCTGTCAGCCCCTCCCACCAACCATGACCTGCCTGTCGGCCCCTCTCACCAACCATGACCTGCCTGTCGGCCCCTCTCACCAACCATGACCTGCCTGTCGGCCCCTCCCACCAACCATGACCTGCCTGTCGGCCCCTCCCACCTGCCCTGATCTGCTTGCGTTGCATATTAATGTTGCAAATCTTAAACAATGGGATTCTCCTATTTGGAATATTTTTGGTCTATCGATTATCCGAACTCCTCCCTCTTTTATACGGAGATGGGAAGAGGGAGACGTGTTCTGTAGTCCTGTCTTAGGGTGAGAAATCAGAGTTAAGGTTTAACACTAAGGCTGTGGGCGGGGCACGGACACAGCGCACCAGTCATTTTACAGCTGGGGCAGCACCGACCTCAGATTGTTGTATGAGACCGGCCGATGGTCAGCGGAGATCCATGACATCAAAGTGTCCCCGGCGATTATCCGCGGCGCCGTCGTCCGTCTCTCCTGTCATTCACGCCGCTGTGCTCGCCGTTCTCCGACGATGGCGAATCTTCTGATGGATGGCGGGAAATGCTGCTCATTGGCTGCGGATCCGTCTCCTCACATTCCTTCACATTATTCCTACAAGAGCCAGAAATGTTGCAGCAAATGTGCGGCGCACCTGAGCCAATCCCGGTGAATGTTGCCAGAGTTCAGCGACCGTTTTGTAGAAAGTCGGATAGAAGACTGAAGGGGAGGACGGAGGTCAGATAGAAGACTGAAGGGAAGGACGGAGGTCAGATAGAAGACAGAAGGGAAGGACGGAGGTCAGATAGAGGACTGAAGGGGAGGACGGAGGTCAGATAGAAGACTGAAGGGAAGGACGGAGGTCAGATAGAAGACTGAAGGGAAGGACGGAGGTCAGATAGAAGACTGAAGGGAAGGACGGAGGTCAGATAGAAGACTGAAGGGAAGGACGGAGGTCAGATAGAAGACTGAAGGGGAGGACGGAGGTCAGATTTCTAGCGCGGGGAAACGACATGGGTCGGCCATTTAAATATTCCTTCTCTTTATAGCATGCACCTTGTCTTTTGAATCTTGCCCCTCCCACACCTATACTTAGCCCCACCCCCTGACAGTACACCTGTCACTTGCTGCTAAGCCACGCCCTCTCTCTCCCTCAGCAAACGATCGTCTGTCGCCGTTTCCTAATTATGAAGTTGATTAGCTGCGCTCCATTTGCACGCTGAGGACGGTAATTACGGCGCGCAGTCATTTAGAAGCAGATTGCAGGCGATGATGATGATGATGATGACGGCGGCGGTGGCGATGTCACCAGAAAAAGTATTTACATTCGGCTCCATTTTCTCTGAGATTTGGGAGCCGGACGGAGCGCCGGGAATGTGTTTTCTATGATGAGATGTACGGGGGATGGGAAACGGCCCCACACGCTGCTTCATCTTCCGTCATCATCATCATCCTTCTAGAATATTCCGCACGGCGATGGATCTTCACCAAAATCAAAGATGTTTCTTCATAATCCACATTGTGGTAGAGGAGGCCTATGACTAAGACGTGCTGGTGAAACGCGTTAGTGGATGGAGGAAATCCAAGCCTGCGGTGTCCCTCATCCCACATTGTAGCCTCTCACTCTTCACCTCCCGTCCCGCACTGTAGTCACCTGCTCCTCATCCCTACATCCAACCCCACGTTGCCTCACCCCTCCCGCATCCCATACTACAGTCCTCCACTCCTCACCCCCCCATCACACACTGCGGTATCAGGATCCTCACCCCCCCCATCCCATATTGCATTCCCCTGCTCTTCATACCCCATCCCACACTGTTGCCCCGCTCCTTCCCCCTCATTACCCCCCACACTCCACTCTGCTCCGGAAACTCTCCCGTTCTGACACAGACACAACTTTGTTGGAAATTTGCTGCGTTTTATAAAACCTGTAAAATGGGAATTTCGGGAGAGAGGAACATTTGCCGAGTATTTTGGCACGGTGAGAGTTGGTGTAGACGGACATCAGACACGGGTCAGCAGATTATTATTTACTTCCCTGGCGCAGTGCGGATGACAGATGCGAGGCTGCGCCCGGCCAGCTTCTTCCTAAGAGGTTCTTTCTGTGTTCTAACACATGAAACTGAGCAGCGCTGAGCTCGGAGACAACAACTCTCATCATCCTCAACCCCGGACATTGATGATGAGAACCAATGATGATACAAAACCTTCTGTATACATTTTCATAGTTTCCTTCTACAATGGTCAGCTGATCGGTGATTTATAAATACGACGGATGGCGACCGGAGGACCAACTTCACAAATTGCATCAAACAGGAAACAGCGAAGAAAATGTAATGTACCAATTCTGTATAAATCAGCCCCAAAAATGTCTGAACTGGACTGACTGAGAGACACAGCATAGAATGAGAACCGCTTCACTCTTCATGTCACAGAGTCCTCCATCTCTGATACTGCCAGGGTAGAGTCCTCCTAAAGTCATAGGGAGGGAATTTATCAACTCTGGAGCAGCTGTGCACGGCAACCAATCGGCTTCTCTCTTTCATTTTCAAATCTTAACTGAACAAACTGAAGAGAGAAGCTGATTGGTTACCATGCACAGCTGCTCCGGATTTTGTCTGCTCCCGATTTGATACATCTCCCCCATAGTGTTCCTTTGACTAACAT